ATATATATATATATATATATATATATTTGTGTGTTGTATCATTCCAAAAACTAATTTTATGGCAGAAGGACTAACAATGTTACTACTTTTTCAAATTCAGCCTATCAGATAATCATTCATCGTAATATTCTAAGATAAGTAACTTTTTATGTCTATTTAGTTTTAAGAAATGCTAATTCTATTAATCTTGTGTATTCCTCTCTCAGAAGACAGTAGCTAGTGATATTTGTTCATTGGAAGTTTGAGTGTACATTATTTTTAACAAAATTAGATAGTTGTAAATATCCCCAAAGTAAAATATTTTTTTTTCCCTTGATTTAAGTTACAATACATGTTCCATATCCATATGTCTTGCTTTTCTGGAAGAATTTCTTGGAAATAGTAAATAGATTAAGATTGCTTTATGAAGCAGTTTTCTGTACAAAACCTACACTAGGAAAATGACATTAGGAAATATTTTAAAACCAACGTTTAAAAACAGAATAAGTGGAAAGACATGCCATGTTTATGGATATGAGGATACTTCCATAAAGATGTCATATTTTTTATAAGTTCTTTGCAAATGTATTATGTAAATCACATACTAATACACATTGATTTAGCAGTCCCACTTTTAGGAAACTACCCCAAAGATGTGAAATTATGAATGCACAGGACCATTTATTGTGGCATGTTAATAGCAAAAGACTAGAAGAAATCCAAATCCAAATGTTCATGAGTTAAATAAATTGTGGTACATCCCTATAATGAAGTACAGTAAAGTGTAAAACAGAAGGAGGAAGATTTCTATTTTATGTTGTAGAATGATTTCTAGGATATATTGCTGAGTGAAAAGAGCAAGTCTTTTTGTAAGAAAGTGACCAAAATATGAACATATATCACATGCCTTGTTTGTTTGTTTTGGAGATGGTCTCACTCTGTCATCCAGGCTGGAGTACACTGGTACAATCTTGGCTCACTGCAACCTCCTGCCTCCCAGGTTCAAGCGATTCTCATGCCTCACCCTCCCAAGTAGCTGGGATTACAGGCGTGCACCATCACACCCAGCTATTTTTTGTAGAGACAGGGTTTCACCATGTTGGCCAGGCTGGTCTTGAACTCCTGACCTCAAGTAATCCACCCACCTTGGCCTCCCAAAGTGCTGGAATTACAGGTGTGAGCCACCATGTCTGGCCATATGTTTTTAAAAATACAATAAATTAAAAATTAATAGCCAGAACAAATGTGCCTTGCCTTACAATTTTTGACTTTGGAATCTAGAAACTATTACATGTAATTGAGAAGGAAAATTATGGCTGGGTGTGGTGGCTCACGCCTGTAATCCCAGCACTTTGAGAGGCCAAGGCGGGCAAATCACAAGGTCAGGCATTCGAGACTGGCCTGGCCCACACGATGAAACCCCCTCTCTACTAAAAATACAAAAAATTAGTCAGGTGTGGTGGCAGGCACCTGTAATCCTAGCTACTTGGGAGGCTGAGGCAAGAGAATCGCTTGAACCCTGGAGGCAGAGTTTGCAGTGACCTATGATCGCACCACTGTACTCCAGCCTGGGCAACAGAGCGAGACTCCATCTCCAAAAAAAAAGTAAAATCATATATATATGTAAGTTATGTAAATATTAATCCTTAAAATTGAAAACTAATAAGTTAGTGGCACAATTACACAAGAAAGAATTATTTTAGGTAATTTTAAATTACAGCATTTTGCAGCACATCACCGGGGGAAATACACTAAGGATAAACTGAATCCACAAAGAAATCTTAAACTGCATTCTTTTTGTTTTCTTTTTTTTCTTTGTTGTTGTTGTTGTTGTTGTTTTGTTTTATTTTTAAGTGTCAGGGTCTTATTTTGTTACCCAGGCTGGAGTGCAATGGCGCGATCTCGGCTCACCGCAACCTCCGCCTCCTGGGTTCAGGCAATTCTCCTGCCTCAGCCTCCTGANGATGGAGTCTTGCTCTGTCGCCCAGGCTGGAGTACAGTAGCCCACGGCAACCTGCACCTCTTGGGTTCAAGCAATTCTCCTGCCTCAACCTCCTGATTAGTTGGGACTACACCCCTAGCTAATTTTTTTGTATTTTTAGTAGAGACAAGGTTTCACCACGTTGTCCAGGCTGGTGTCAAACTCCTGACCTCAAGCAATCTATCTGCCTCAGCCTCCCAAAATGCTAGAATTACAGGCAAGAGCCACTGCACCCATCCCTTAAACTACATTCTGTAATTTTTTTTTTTTTTTTTCTGAGATGGAGGCCTCATTCTGTTGCTGAGGTTGCAGCGCAGTGGCAGTCATAGTGCACTGCAGCTATGTCCAAATTCTTGGGCTCAAGCAGTTCTCCCACCTCAGCTTCCTGAGTAGCTGGAACTACAGGCATGCACCACTATGCCTGGCTAATCTTTTTATTTTTTGTAGAGTTGGTGTCTCGCTTTGTTGCCCAGACTGGTCTCGAACTCCTGGTTTCAAATGAGCCTCCTACCTCAGCCTCCCAAAATGCTGGGGTTACAAATGTGCATTTTGTAGTCTTATTATTAGAAGTAAATTTGCTATTGTCATTTTTCCAATGTATTACATATAAACAGGCGAAAGCAAAAAAGTAGTTATTTTACTGTATTAGAAACTATGATTTTCAGCTTAAGAGAAAAGAGATAGGCATAAAACTTTAGGAATTGAGTTAAAACCTTGTGATCTTTACTTTGAATCACAAGTATTAGTATGGCCTCTTCATTTGTTTTTCTCTAAGAATATGTTTTTGTTGTTTTGTTTTTGTTTTTGTTTACTATAACCACTGAAAGGTCCTAGAAGTAATGAACCATGTGCAATCTGGACACAATGGTAATGCCTTGATTGTTGCAGATTCTCTATTAAAAGGAACCAGGACTTCTTAGAGAAGAGTCTGATCTCATGTCTGTGGCAAAAAAATATTTATAAGAACACCTTTGGGCACTTTGTGGTATAAAAAAGCAAAAATTACTACTGTCATGTCAGAAGGACAACTTGAAGGAGGTTTCACCGGATATCGAGAAGAAATAATGACTGCAAAAAATGGAAAACGTCAGATTTATTATTAAAAATCCATGAGTTTGTGATGATACTCTCTTCCCCCAAATCAATATAAGCAAAACTTATTGCTTACCTTTGGAGGTTGCTAGGACAGCACTCATTTTTTTTCATTGGTGAATAGTGGGAAAGAATCAAGTTTTCAGCCTTTCATTTGCAAATTGTATTTTAGGGTAACTTAATAAGTTCTTTAGAGAAGAATTCTAGCTCATAACTCTAGGAAAAATAATAAAACTAGAAAAATCACCATTTTACACTCTCTGATAAGTAATGGATCTAGGCAAAGAACATTGAGCCTAATGGGGATGTATCAGGCTGACACACTTTGACTTACTTATTTTTATTTGTTATGTTTTATTTTATTGTTATTTTTTGAGACAGAGTCTCACTGTGTTGCCCAGGTTGGAGTGCAGTGGTGTGATCTTAGCTCACCGCAGGCCTCTGTCTCCCGGGTTCAAGCAATTCTCCTGCCTCAGCCTTCTGAATAGCTGGGATTACAGGCATACACCACTACGCTTGTATTTTTAGTAGAGACGGGGTCTCAGCATGTTGGCCAGGCTGGTCTCAAACTCCTGACCTCAAATAATCTGTCTGCCTTGGCCTCCCAAAGTGCTGGGATTATGGGCGTGAGCCATCGTGCCAGACCCAACTTAATTATTTTTAACTTTACTAACAAAACAGACATATGCTTTGTGAAATGGTGCAATAAAATAGGTAAATTTAAATATGGCCTGGTTATTAGATGATATTAAGAAATTAGTATTGATTTTGTGAATGTGATAATAGTATTGTGGTTATATACTCTTATCTGTTAGAGATATATGCTGTTGAAGATACACATTTGTGGGTGAAATGATTTGATGACCACAATTTGCTTTAAAGTACTTGAGTGCTTTTTGTTTTGTTTTAAAATACTCCAGAAGGGAAAGGGAGACACCAGTGAAACAAACAAACCAACCTTTTGCCAGTTATTGAAACTTAGTGATGGTTTTATGGTGATTTACTATATTTTCTCTTTACTTTTGTATATTTGCTTGACATTTTCTATGATTAAAAAAGAAAAATGAATATTCTCATGTAACAGTAGGTAATGATGCTATTAAATGATGAAAGCAGAATATAAAGTTGCATATATAGCTATAACTACGAAGAAAAGCAGTTGAGCTGAAAAATACTAATTGTGATTGTGTTGCCATCATAGATTTTTTCTAATGCAGAACTTCTAATTTAGTTATATGTTACATGTTTTGTTTGTTTGTTTTGAGACAGAGTCTCGCTCTGTCACCCAGGCTGGAGTGCAGTGGCATGATCTTGGCTCATGGCAACCTGTGCCTCCTGGGTTCAAGTGATTATCCTGCGTCAGCCTCCCAAGTAGCTGGGACTACAGACACCTGCCATCACACCTAATTTTTGTTATTTTTAGTAGATACGGGGTTTCGCCACATTGGCCAGGCTGGTCTCGAACTCCTGACCTCAAGTGATCTACCCGCCTAAGTTATTTTTATAAGAAGAGTTTTTTGTAAAGACACCTCTATATCATTGTAACTGCATGCTAAAAATTACTATAAGGCCACTCATGGTGGCTCATGCCTGTAATCCCAGCACTTCAGGAGGCAGAGGCAAGAGGATTAATTTAACCCAGGAATTTGAGACCAACCTGGACAACACAGGAAGATGCCATCTCTACAAAAAAGTAAAAAATTAGCCAGACATGGTGGTGCATGCCTGCAGTCCCAGCTACTTAGGAGGCTGAGGTGGGAGGATCACTTGAGCCCAGGAGGTTAAGGCTGCAGTGAGCCGTGATCATGCCACTATACTGAAGCCTGGGTGACTGAGCAAGACCCTGTCTGAATAAATAAATAAGTAAATAAAAATTGTTATATTTGTGCATTCTGGTTATATGCACTCTTTGCAGATTATTTATGTAAGGCAATAACTACCTTGGAAAGGGAAGATGATACCATTTTTAGGTTTTGTGAAATCTTATATATGTACTTGGAATTCAGCAAGACAGTATAATGATAGTGAAAGGCAATGCAAATAATTATTTGTGTCTCTAGTGACTACTTTAAATATTTTATAATGGTGAAAACATCATTACCTGGAGTTCTCATAGTTTTATGACATTTTACTTTGATAGAGCCAGCTGCCATCTCTCTGTCAAATTGTGAAGACAGTTTGTAGAAGATAAAAAAAACTGAGTTTATATTAAAGATTTGGACTTTTAACTTATTTTCCTGTTATTTTCTTTTATAATTCCTTCTAATGGTAAGGGGTTTTGTTTCTTTTCTTTTTTTTTTTTTTTT